CTAAACAGGGATATTAGCAGGTGTGGAACAGAGAATCTGGAAAAGGCTTTATTTTGAAAGGTTACACTTAGTCTACGAGATTTATTTTAGGTTCATTTTATATTTAAGAGGCAAAGAAAGAAAAGAAACCTCCAAAAGTATTTCAGCCCACTCTAAAAACCCTATGGTAGGTATCCACAATTTTAAAGAAAGAATACCACACTGTAGCGCATTTGCTCTACACACCAGGAAAACATCATTTACTAGGTCTGTCAACATACCAAGGAGAGTACTGCCTCAAATCCAGATGTATTTTTTTAAATTGAAATATTCTTACTCAGATACTCAAAAAATTCTTTTTTTTTTTTCTTAGTTCTCCCTATGTCTAGTTCAAATTTATTTAAAATCACTTTTTAACCCTACATTATCAAGACTTATAGGTTAGGTCTGTGATGTTACCAAAGGACTATTTCTAGCAACTTCTATCTGCCGGGGCACAGCCATCAAACTGTATCTGGCAGTTTCTGTAGCCTATTCCAGTAGTTGAGCAATGAGCGATCACTGGATTTCCAAAAAAGTTGGGCTTATCTCTGCATTTGAGGATGTAGTCACTAACCTATTATTTGGGCTTGGCTCCTCTAAAGCCAGTTTTTAATCTTGGGTGTGGATTCAATCAACTTTGCCCACTCACACGACTTGAGATTGAGTTTGCTGGAGAGGAATCACTTTTGCACAGCAGTTTAGTAGATGACAAAAGTCGTAACGTGCTTGTGATGCAACCACACAGGCAGCCTGAATACAAAGAATTCAAGCTATGACCCTCCTTTAATATGCTTTAGGTACAGAGTCGAGTTTATCTCATGGGGTAGGACTGAGGGAGTAGGAAGGCATGTACACATAGACTAGCTGGCCAAGCTTTCATTACAGATAATAGACACCAACAGCAGGCATTGGATGCTTAAATGAAAGTAGCGGAGCTGTGTGGTGTCCTGCCTGGCCTCCAGCTGCTTTCCCAGAAGTGCATAAGCATCCAAAAATCTGAATCATATCTCCAGGACAGTGCAGATGTCTTGGATGCACCCAGACATGCTACCAATGGCATTTGGTAGCTGTGTTTATGTAACTGAAACCGACTCTAGATGAATAGCCAGTGATGCCTAGACAGCTATACAGTCAGCTGTATGTAGGTGTTTACTTTAGGGAGAGCTGAGTGGCTCATGGATTTCACTAACTGTATTGCTAATACTTCCACTGGCTTAGACATCCAAATCATACATAGGCTGCAACACACAGATACCTAAATTTTGCTATCATAACCTGTGAACTGAACACCACCTTTGCTTTACAGCATTGGGTACTTCTTATCACAGCATTTATTTTTTTCCTGAAGATCATTCTCTGTCATACAATGCATTTATTTAACTTGATAAACTGTTTCTTCCCTTAGTTGGAAGATGCACTGAAACCTTTTGTGTTTTTCAGGCCTGTTTTGTTGTTTGGTTGTTTTTGTGTTTTGTTTTTTTTTTCCCAATAGCTTCTACCACCCTTCTGCACTGCTCTGAAAATCCAGCTCTAGGTGGATTAGGCAACCTTGAGGAAGCTCAGCATTGGCAAAGCAGGTAAAGCGGCCTGCTGGAAGGATTTCTTTTAATCTGGTGTCCGCACAATCAAGTTATCTGAAAAAATATGCTGACATTGTGAGAGTTAAAAATCAACTCTTAGTGAGAAATTTCAGCTACCTTAACAACGTGTCTTTGCTGCAACACCAAAAAACCCAGCCGAAACAGTTGTTCATAATCTTTCCAGGTTGTCATGTAGTTTGTAAAGTGATTTGAAAATATTAATTGAAGAGTTAAACTGTGTAAAAGGTGCCAGGGGACTAGAGGAAGAGAAAGCAGCTTTTCCTAGCTGATATAACTTAATGATGTATTGCAGCTGTCCTTTGCTAGTCATGCAAATCTCGCTTGGGAGAGGTGGTACCTCAGGTTCGCACTGGCTGTGAGCGGGGGGCAATGCTTTGGTGCGTCGCCTGGCTTTCCGGACTGCGCACATCCAGCTGGGCCAGCAGCGTGCCCAGCACACACCACGCACCACGAGATGGCAGTGCCTCCACGCAGACCACACAGAGCTTCTTTTTGTTTTTGACAACCCCTTTGCTGCCTTCACAGATCTGCTATGAAGCAATATATGTTCCTGAAGCGTTCCCTACTCCTACACATACCGTCATGTCCTCAGACATGCCATCAAGAAGGGATCAGCAGCCTTTTCACAGCCCAAACACAACTTTTATCCAAGAAACTTTTGCACTCCCCAGGATTATTAATATCATCACCAGGTGTGTCCTTTATAAAAACATATGTAACTAGTGGCTTTGTATGTATGAACAGTATCTCCACATAGCCCTCGATTCCAGCTTATGGCTTACACATCCTGATCCAAAATGTTTGAAAAATAAAAGACTTGGAAATGTTAATAGCATAGGGAGGGATGCAGGGACATTTTGGACAAAGGACTGGCAGAGCAGGTGCCTGGTGTGTTGCTGAGGTTGCTGAAGAACTTTTGAGGCATTGTGGTGGATCTCTGTGAGATCAGTTCTGAGGGTGACTGGAAGGAGCTTGAGGCAAAAGAGGATATCTGGGACATTAGTGCAAGCTGAATGTGCGTGTTGGTGGTATATGGGCACAAATTAGGTTGTGGGGTCTGACAGGACTGGTGGGGTTGCTAGAGATATTGAATTGTCTGAAGAGTCTGAACACTGGATGGCCGATGAAAAGGTCCTTCACGGTGTACTGTGACCTATCATCTTTCCTCTCCATCATTTCTCCTTTCCCTGGATCCTTGGTCCAGGAAAGAAACTTTCCAGTAGTAAAAGGAAGATGATATGTAGTGAGATAGGTGGTCTTTAAGTCAAATGCATGCCATCCTGGGAGCTCAGCTGGGAAGAAGGAGTTGCTGTGTGACACAAATCCACTGAATAAATGACAAAGTTAGGTGGGAATGAAAATAAAGGGGAGTTTGTACTGGGACAGTAAGTGTCCCTAGCACAGAACCCTCACACCAGGTTTTTTTTAAGAATCAAAGTCTGCCAAAAGCAGAAATATAATTCACTCCACCTTTGATCTCCCCAAAGACAAATGAAGAGATACAGGTCAATTTCTTCATATAGATGATGCAGTAATGTTTAGCAGAACTGTTTCCTCAAGAAAACATTCAGAAGTAGTCACATACCTGAACTACTGGTCTTCTCTCAAAAATGGATAGAAGCAGGGTACCACAGACCTGAGTCTTAGTGGGTGTCTTGGAAGGGCAGTGGGGCATTAACTCATGCTACAAGACCATGTAATGAATTTTTTTTTATTGGATGGAGATGTCAAAATAGTGTATATCCATTGGCTTCAAAACTGTATCCGTAGTAAACACAATTATAAGACTGTCCTTTTATAATAAAGTCTCAAATGAAACACCCAAATTGATATAATATAGTTAAAAATTACTAACTCACAACAGCTGTAATTATCACTTACATTTTATAGCTGTACATCATACAAATGTGTTCATATCACTATGCTAGGCAACAACACAGGAACAAGGATTACTTTTACAAGGAAAACTGATAAGGAGGTCAAATAGACAAAATGACACCTTGTAGAGGACATTTGATTTATCGGGACAGATGGGGTAAATGCCTAATTAATAAAGGACTGATGTGAATTATGCATATAGAAATCTGGAAAATTCATCTCTGCTCTAATAATTGAACTACAGATGAAGCACTTAAAATCAACAAAGAGGCTTCTACAAAGTCAGTGTCCCCTGGCCTAAGTAATTAACCAAAAGTATGGCAAAATGAGGGACTGGAACACTACTTTTTAAAGCTACAGTGATATTGTGGTTCACAGAAAGCCAACGTGTACTTGAATGGCAAGTCTGGATGCAGGGTCGCCTGGGAATGTTCCTGTCTTGATAGGTGTGTCTAGTGTACCTTGTGTGCCCTTTAATTACTTTTGGAGAGTTTGAGGTAGAGTCCAACTCAGTTCTGAAGAAAGAGGAAGGCCACCCAATGAAATGATGAAAGTGCATTCGTTCACTCTGTTTTACTAGATGATATTTTGCTTCACTAGACCACACTGCTGTGTTGATAATTCTGACCCCTGAAACATCATTGAGTGGAGTGGTAATGAGCTGAGAAATGATGGACAGGACTGAGATAATCACAGCAATCACATCAGATTAGTCCTCAAAGGGAGGTCCCCCAAAAAAGCACAAAAGCACAGTTTAATTCTGTATTTCATTAATGGATATAACCAACTTTCAAGTTTATGGTGGTAGAAGGTCTGTTCCAGCTACACAAGGACCAGCATCTGGGCACTAAGACTAGGTCTGTAAGTTATTCTGAGCTCAAGGTAGCCCAGCTGGCATACTGCGTTGGGTTTGACCTATGTTCTCCCTTCATACACATATAATCTCTCTAATGATCAGCTACTCATGTTTTCCCATGGACAAGAAACTGATTGGGGTCCTCTGGACTAATTTAATCTCTCACGGAAGAAAAAAGACCCAAGTGGACAATGTAACTCATTCTTTTTTGTGTCACTCTTGAGACACCTTGAGATTCTTTTTAAAGGAGGTTGCTTAGCAAGTTTCTGTGTGTAATTCCCATTAAGTTGGCTTAAAGCAACCAGTAACACATCACTAATCATTATGGCAAACCTTTGCCACCCCCTAACTGTTTCAAATTAAAATTGGGAATAATGCTTTTGAAAACTGGTAATTTTGGGAAACACTAACAAAGATGTGACAAACATACTGGGTCTGGGAGGAATTAATATAGTTCCTTTTTTTCTGAGTGTTAACCTGTTGACTCACTCTAACTCAATGTCTGGGTTTTCACATCAAAACAAGTGGATTTTATATGCTTAAGGAGAGAGAGAACCAGGGTTGTGTAATACTGTTCTGTAACAGGTGAGAAAAGCAGACTCACATTCAGGACAAGAAATTCACAGAAGGCTTTTGACACTATGGAAAGCCATAAAGAATCCAAGCTGGCCATCTCTTAGGTAGTATGTTGCAACACCACAGCGGCTCATCCTGCTAGAAAAGCTCAAACAGAAGTTACACCATTCTGGTACACCGATTTTTTCCTTTTCGGGCTGATTTTTTCAAGCAGTGATAACTGAGTGACATAGTTGACTGGACTGTTTTCTCTGGACAAAGTCTTGTGTTTGTGTGTGAAGTTCAGGTATTCTTGATACTGCCATTTGCACAGTTGTTTCTTCAGTTCACTTTGAACCTATAGAAAAGGAATTTAAAAACAAAGAATCAGAAAATTAACACTTAGTTGTCATTGAAGATAAAATATGTCCAAATGACTGCCTGGCTACTTAACCTAGATGCACAAAGGCACCCAAATCAGTCAGGATTAAGAGTTAACACATTTTTAGAAGAACTCGCACTATGTCCCTATTCACTTTTGAAAATAAACAGACTTAATTTCCAACGTTCAGAGGATGATGGAGAAGGTTTTGACTGCGGTTTGTTTATTTTTGTAGGTCTGCTTCATAAATATTTCTACTTTTTTGTATAATTTCTATTCTTCCTCATACTCAATCTTCTGTGCCTCCTTGCTGTGACCTGCTATGTACAATAAGGGTCCTTCTCCAGGCTTTCATTTTATCCAGATTTCAAATCCCTTGAAAGATACTGAATCAACTTGAATACAATTTACATTTGAGAGAGGTCTTGAATATCCTCAAAAGCATAGGCAAAGCTGATTTTTTTTACCATCTGACACACAAGGAACAGGTAGGTTGAACAACCCTGTAGGTCCATGGTCTGCTGTTGACACTACTGGGACCCGGGTGAGGGGACAGGGGGAAAGGAGGTTCTGTTGCCCTACGTAAAGCAGCTCACGCCCCAAGCTGTGGCAGAGGGAGCGCATGGAGGTGCAGGAAACAGCCGGTCCTTGCCACCGTTCACATGAGCAGTCTGCTCCTGGGGATTAATGGCTCGCTGTGCCCTGTTACCTCTGCTTGCATTCAGTTTCATCTCCATCTGGTTCTCCTGCAAGGGGGGTGGCTCTCCTGAATGTCTACAAAGTGATTTACAAAAGCCATCCTTAACTAAGAAGATTTATCAAATGCTTCTAACCACATAGATGCCATATTCTGTGGCTGTCATTAGTACTGAAAGTCTATGACAGTGTTACAGTTGTAACACCATTAACTCAAACTCCCTCCAAGTTAAATGCAGAAATAAACTGTTAAGTGGAACTATTAATTCTTACAGGGGGTATGTGTACAGACATATGTGATTTAAGTACTCTGAACTTAGGAATTCATCTAGTAATTCTGTTATCTAATCCTCTACTAAGTATGGGCTCTACTGCCCGTACATAAAGGAGGATGGGCCGTGCAGAAGTACATCTTGGACATCAGGGCTCCATGAAAGTCACTGATAGTATTTACCATTGAGATGGCCCCTATTCTGCCTTTATCCTCTCTGTTAACCACACAGGCACACCAGCCCCTGCGTGCAAGTGCAAGTATGGATATAATATGCCCTCTGGAGCTTTCAAAACTCCAGTAAATAAAAGTGGGGCTTCTTTCACCAGCCCAATACTCCAGTACTATCCCTGCAAGCTCAAGGCCCTCCAACACTCCTGTGTACATCATTCCAAAAACCAGGACGTACAATACTAGTTTCATCACATACAGACACCACCCTGCTTGGCAGCAGCACAGTCTCTCACTTTGTTGTGGATACTTACAACTGAAGAAACACACACACACACAGAAAATATTAATTATTTTTTTATGATTGCAGGGAACCATAACAGATGCAGGAAGGATCCACTGCCAAGTTGTAATGAGTGGTTAATCTGCTCCAGAAGCAGTTATCCCTAAGCAGCATGGACGCAAGCCAACCCATACTGCCTCGTCTCAGGGCCAGAGATCACCCTCTGCCTGTCCCTTTTTTAACACCTGGTAGATTTGTGTGTTGGGAGATACGATATATAAGCTATTTAAAGGCTGTTGGCAAGGAGTCTATGCAGACAGAAGGCAGGTGGGAAATAGAGTGTTCTGTATTTACAGTTAGTCCTGAAGGCACTCTCTCAGAACAGCACTAGAATGGCCATTACAAATTGTTTTCCTAAGAAAAAAAATGTATTTTAGGCATTATTTATCCTTGCGTAGGATTAATTTCACCTACATTTAGCCACCACTATGAGAAGTGTCCAGTCTAAACTAGTGGGGAGACTGAGGCACCGTTAGTGGGTCATTCTTCTCATCTAACCTACACCCTTTTCTGAGGATGAGATGTGTTTTTACGTTTTCTCATGGGTTTTGTTTCATTCTCATTTTTTGGGGAAAGTGCAAACAAATTTAATTAGTTTGTAAAATGATAGGCTCTCTGAAATGCACTACAGAGAATTTATCCAAATTCTAAGAATGTTACAAAAACAGGAAAGAAAGTATTTGAATAAAACTACTGACAACGCACAGTCTGACCTGGGAAAAGGAAAGGGAAAGGGAAAAGTAAAAGGAAAGAGAAAGGAGAAAAGGGGGAAAGGGGGAAAGGGGGAAAGGGGGAAAGGGGGAAATGGAAAGGGAAGAAACTCACTAGGAGAAAATAAACCTAAAGAAAGCGAGAAGCATTATGAGCTTTCCATTGAGACATCATCATGATAGCTATCAGACATAAATCAGAAAAACAGTCCCCTGACAGGAAAGTCGCCAACCATTTGTAAAGGGTCGTTGCTTCAAAGCTTATTTTGTGTCCTTCTCTCAGAACTGCATGAATACAAATAAAGTCAACAAAGGTACCAAGGAAAGAAAAGATATGGGTATTTCATGCTTTCAGGAGCAGATCAAAGCACAGATCTGTTCTGAAAAAAGGAAAAAAGAAAAAAAAAAGAAAAAACAGGAGAGGCCCATGAGTTTAAAAGGTTTTGATAATCTTATGTAGTTGCTACTCACCTCTGCATTTGAGAAGCAATATAGAAGAGCGACAACAAAACCCTAGAACAGGGACGATAGGGAGAAAAAAGTCAACCATCAGGATTTAAAGCACAGAATCAGAGAAAGACATCAAGTTTCATTCAAAATCTGAGTAAGACAGAAAAAATACATACTTTCTATTGTTCCATTGGAATTTGGGTGATGTGGCACTATTTATTAGGCTTTCATGATAGGATTAAATTCCTCAATGGACTGGCATTTCTATATGTATATTATTCCCCAGGTGTAGATAAACTAAGGACTAATTTACTGTTTACTGTCTCCTACAAACAAGTTCTTCCCCAGATAAGGCAGTAGGGACCTGTGTCTTATTCTAGTCTATATTTACGGTAGTGAATAAACTGGGTGAGGACCTGCTCTTGTTTTACATCTTTACTGCTACACTGTCTTCTTTCACTCCCAAGACATTGGCTGTGTGCAAACAACCTGTTGGGTTCATATTCACCCAGAGCTGCAGTCAGGCATCGTTTAGGGGAGTGTTAGTCAGCTGTGAGCCAAGCCATTTCATAGACTGTGCTAACACAGGCAAACACTGGGCAGTGCTAGACTATGCACAACCCTGAACACCAACCTTGGCTTCTCTGTGTTATTAAAATGTCAACCTGGTCCATGACACAGCTTTGGCCTGGGCCAGCAAGTATTTTCCCAAACGGATTCTGGCCACGGTTGAGAGGTAAGCATGGAAGAAGGACCAATTTCAACACATATCGACTTGGACAAGCTGTTGTGGGTTGCAGGGGAAAGGGGAAGGAAAAGGATCTCAGCTATTTATTACGAAGTGTACCATACCCAGGCACTGGCCCTCTCAAATCCAAGATATTGTTCTGAGCAGTGGTATAGCAAAATAAAAGAAATACAGAAGTATTAACATGATGGATTCACTACTGCTAAAGGGTAAGGGCAGAACAGGTTGTTATATACTATCCTTATTCTTTCATTCCTCTTATGATCACCTTCATTATATGTGGGATTAGTTTCAATCAGTGCACCTTAATCCGTGGACCGATCTTCATGGCACTCTGTCATTGATATTCAGTAAAGGTAGATATTCAAATTTTTTTTGTGATTATTATTATGAAGTCTGAGTCAGAACTCAAAAGTAGTGTGAGATTTCAAGTAATAAGATAAGGGAATAAACAACAGAAAGAGATTGTGAAGGAGCAAGATGGAATATGTGCATTGAATTTAGACACATTATTAACACCTGCTCTAATAACCAACCTAGAATATAAAATTCCTGAGAATTCAGTGTTTCAAACCAAACCTCTTAGGACTGATCAACATTTTGTCCAGCTTACCTGAAAAGAACCCAAGCCCAGCTCAATATAGAGGCGAGCTTCCAGACCAGTGCTTTCTGGGAAAAATGCAAATACAATGTAGTGCACTCCAAAGAGGGGGATCAGGAGTAACGTGGATTTAGCAAGTCTCCTGGCAAACCAAGAATTAAAGAACAATGCACTGTTAGAAATATGGAATTAGTGATAGCAATTATATGTTCAAACAAATTTTAAAACAGAGGACAGGTCTGTAATGGAGGCAACTACATCTGACGAAGTTATGGAAAGATTACTTTCTGCCACTCCCACTGTCAACACCTGGTGAACAAAGATGAACAAATGAGCACGTAAGTTTTCTGGACTGATCTTTAAGGGTTCTTCTCCCTGCTATACATGCTAAAAGAGGTGCCCCAAGCTAAGTATTGTGATCTACTCTCCTAAGACTAATCCCAGGTAGGCATCTGCCATATGAGTGTCTCAACTTCCAAAACTGCCAATGGAGATCTAATCATCACTGTCAATAGAACTTGATTCAGCTTAAACAGTGGTGTGAGAGCAACTGGTGATGTCCTAGGGTTTTCTGCTTGGCCTTCAGCTCACTCCAGAAGGGCACAGGTTTATGCTAGGTCCTATGCCATAACAGCCGTACCCACATACCTTATGATGAGTTAAATAGCTTGCTAGAGTCCTCCGACTGCACTGATGAGATCCCCATTTGTTGTGAAGGGGATCGTAAACAGGAAGAACTAGGTTCAGTTAGCAGAACATCAGTATCATGTTACTGCTAAGAATTTAAAGGAAATTATCTACATTTTTCTCGATGTGGTCATTTGTGTGGAAAGGACTGGAAAGAAGATGGATGTGTTACCTGAAATTTAGTGTTTACACTTTCAGTCTGGGTCCTTTTGGACTTATAATACTTTCTATTTTACTTTTCTTATTGCCCCCAACATACCCACTCATCCCCTGAAGATAAAGAGAGATGTGATATTTGGGATGAAAAGGAAAGTTTGCATTGTTATTTCTTCTGGGGATTTCTCTTTCTATTAGTAAAGGAGAAGAACATTTTGTGCTCCTGCCCATAAAACATTTCTTATAGCAGCTAGAACAGGTCAATATCAAGAGACCCAGAAATACTTACACAAAGTGGCTCGAATGGCTCCCTCCTCCCTCTTGAGATTTCAATTTATGGACTAGAATTCTGATCACATTAATAAATATAATAAAGTTAACCTAAAAAGACAAGAAAAAATTCTGTAAACTTATGAGAAAACAGGACATACCTTCAGTTGATACAAATGATCTAGAAATCCCCCGTCATAGGAATTGCACTGCTATAAACCTGTGGCATTAGAAATCAAATCAATGGCATTAGAAATAGTATTAATTTTTGACACCAATATATAGCTATACATAAAGATATGCTGAAAGCTATGTTGAATTAATATAGACATATGTCTGATACTAACTCCTTGTACTTGTTGTCAGCACCTAAGCAGATCTTACATGGTCTAAATAGTCCCCTCTGTCCCCTTTATTGTTTATGACAGGGATTATAACATATACAGACCTAAATGACATACAGTTTCCTCCCTAAATTTAGGTGGAATAAATGTGTGCATAAGGGAGTTTTTATTATCTTAAGTTTACATGTTAAAAACTAATTTTAAAAATATACTATATAAAATGATCAGTATGTAGTTTTTTGTGTTAAACCAGCTTCATATTATCTAAGAACGTTGCCAGTATCTATATTATCTATATTATCTAAGAATCTTGCCTTTCTTCAGAAATGGCTTACAGAGACACAGACAAGATTGTGGTATGTGGAATGGAGGTGTCAAGAAAATTCCATTAAGTCTTAGCATGACTCCAGAAAATATAGGATTTACCTATTAGGTTGTGATTTAGAGTGTTTGGGGTGGGGGGGGGAAACAACCCAACAAGCAAAACCCAACAAAAACAACAACAACAAAACCACGTTATACAATAATTTCCAACTATTTGAAATTCAGTATCATAGCATGTGGTAATGCTTTTCTCTCAGCTTACTGAAAGAAGATACTAACTCATCTTTCATGAGAAAAAAAGACAAGAAACTTACTAAGACAGTTAGCAGAATGGGGCCTTTGATGATCCATAACACCACTCCATTTTCATCGTCATCCCAACATCTGAAACAGCAAACAAAACCAGTCATGTTACCTGTCCCATGTAAGCTTCCCACAACACAGGAAAGCATTTCTGTCACTGAATAAGAAAGTGATGGACACTAAGTTTTAAATCACTATTTAAAGGCCAATGCTCGTACCCTGATACCTCTCTAAAAGTTTCTGTGCAGCCCAATCTAAAGGAAGTTTATTCAGTAAGAGGTTGAAGAAACAAAGCAAAGACAAGAAATGCACATTTGTATTTTCAGGCTTCTTTCCCGCTTTTCTGTTGAAAAAGTGACTTTTACAGAGCACAGGTCAAAGGCTAAATTGCTGTGCATCCATAATTGTAATGACTTTGGGGTCATAAGGAAATAGGTGAGAAAAACCTAGAGCCCTTGTAAAGGTACGCTGAAGAGAGGGAGCAAAATGGGGTTTTGGTCCCTGTTTTGAGGCTGTTCATGTGTTTAACATCAATAACAGTCCAGTTTAACTCCCTCCAGTCAAGTGCTATGCGTGCCATCCCGGCACATCTGAGTGTAAGGTGTATCTGCAACATGACCAATGTGAGTTCAGACCAGCTGTGTCTGAAGGATTCGGGTTTCCATTTACTAGGCTATTAGGTGAAAGATGAGTCATTCTGATACTGTAGTTTGCTTATATATCTAATATTAGAAAAGCAACCAAATGAATGGAGGATCTGTAATGAGATTCATCTGACTATGTAGATATCCTCATCGGATCTATTCAACTACATTTCCTTTGCAGTCAAAGGAGATCAATATAGCAGGACACAATCTCATCTTAAAGTGGACATCTAAAATACATCAGAGAAGTAAATTGAACAGGTAGGTGGGCACTTTGCTGGAAGAGCACCCGAAGTTCAGACACTTTTCAGCCCCCTCTTTAAGCCTGTGAGAACTTGTCAGAACTTTTTCCTGCTCTCCACCTTTCTCTGACCTCCCTCTGTAACTAGAGTATCTTGTGGCAGATTCTTCTGCTACAGATCCAACAGATAAACCCAACAATCTTTTGGAAGAAGAACAGTGGGAAAGGAGGAAAAATGAAATCTTCCTTGGACCTCTCCTGGCTACAGAAAGGAAGCACATGATATGGGAAGGTAGACCACTTCCACTTATGAAGCATTACAGTCGAGAGTTACTTCTGCAGACCTTCTCCAGTAATACAAAAAAAAAAATAAAAGAAGATGTGCCAAATGCAGTGGAGCATAGAACATACTGCTTCTACATCATTAATCTGAGTCCTGAGGAAATAGGTGTAAAATAATATCTTTTCCAATTGATCATCCATGTGAAATGACCTGAAAGCCTTCAGGGCAGCTTTTTGGTAAACAATCATCTACTTTATACCTGGCTCTTATATGAAAAGATTAAAATAAAATAAAATAAAATAAAATAAAGAATCAAAGAATTCAATGGAAATGAAAGAAGAAACTATTTATCAGGACACAAAGTGTTTGTTTGGGAGATATTTATTGAAGAGATTAGGTTTAGTAATTTATGGCTGATTTTATACAGAAACAGTGATTTTCTTAAAATATAATTAGTTCAAGGACTGGGGCTTAGGAAACTAAATGAAATTTCAGTATTTACTATGATATTTTCAGGTTTTATTACTCCACATATGCACATCAAAATCAGAAGACTCAAAACTATTTTCTTATTTACTTGTGTATGAAATGTAAAGATCAGAGGCACAATTTTGGATTTTTTTTTCTTTTCTGTTTTTTATATCTATTTTTCCCCAACAGAAAATCAAAATACAGTACAAAATAGGATGTCCTTTGCTTCCTTATCCAAGCTCTGACTTACCCAGTATTTTGTCGATGGATTCTTGTGAGGACCCAAGCAATCATCACAGCAGTGGGAGCTCCTGGACAAATCAACATGGAACAAAACATAATTTTTTTGAATACTGTGTCCCAAGGAAACTTTATTTGAAGGCAGTTCACAGTACATCAGATTGGATGTACATTAAAGGTCAAACAACAGGTGAGACAATTTTAAATAACTTTATGAGAGAACTTAACTTGCAGTTCAGGGAAGAAATAAAAAAAAAAAAAAGCAGGAGAATGAAATAAAAACAAAGGAGAATAGGGGATGCTGTGAAGCTGTTTTCAAAACTAATAGCTAAGAATTACTTGAAGTTTTGGATATGAATTATGAGCACTTGTGAAGCTGGAGGAATCACTTATTTAGCCAGAGCTCTTTTATCCTGTGAATTGTGGCCAGCATACAGTTCTTTGTACACTAGATGGAGGAGTTCACATTTTTGTCCTGAGGAACCTCTACTAATCACTCTAGATCATCAGTTGTTGAACACTCAATTATAATTTAGCTAAATCCAGGAACTGGTGATTTCTAGCCTCACTTTGTCACTGTTTGTCCTTCTACATTTATGACAGAATAGTTATTTCCTTTTTTTTTTTTTTTTTTTTTTAAGTAGTCCTATTAACAAGAGATTGGTTTTGCTGTCCTTTTGTGGAATTGAAATTCCAAAGACTTTCAAAGTGACTTTCAAAGCTGTCACAAAAGCGACTCTAATCTGAGCAGGTGACGTTTTCACTGATAAATCTAAAAAAATATAGGTAATACATTTCTATGTATTATTTGAGATCTGTAGGAAACGCCCAGAAGTCATCCTTCCTAATTTTAGGCCTTTGTTCAGGGCCTTTAAGCGGGGACCATATTCAGTTCCAGTTGCCTTTTTAAGGAATGAAGTGAAATATTTGCATCCATATGACCTAAGATCTGAGTTGCCCCTGAGATGTTTCACTTTCCATTAATTACAGCTGGAGATGAGGATTACTACATTATTAATTGAGGTGTTTCCTTTGTTATCTCAAGTTAGCTGTGATTAATCAAGGTCTAAGTATCTAGTTTCAGCAAATCATAATTGGAATAGCTCCAAATCAACATCCTCTTTATAAAATTCAGACTTTTAGTTGCGTTAAAAAATGCCTGAGAGTCTGAAAATGTAGGACAAATTACTATTTACTTCAGAAAAATTTGGATTTCACTCCTAAGCCAAAAATGGCAATGTAACCACTCAACTGGGTTGCTACTGTTTTAGAATACCAAGTTGAGGTACAACAGTATCTGAGAGTCACAATAAACAATTTCCTGCAGTGAAAGAAATGTTATGTATTACGTGCACATATTCTGACAATCAGATAGTTTTAATTGCTGTCTAAACTCAAAAGATTCCTTAAAGCCAGAAGTTATCTGAAAAAAATTAGAATTGTTTGGTTCCTAGGCCTGAATTCACATGATTTAAGTTTAATCTATCTATTCCTGCTTACTAAAAGCAAAATGTCAACTTAAAGTTAGTCACCAAAACTTCTTTAGTCAGTGGAGGAAGGCAACATGTTTCCAGGTTGTTATCCAGCTACATTACTCATCTTTTTGAAAAGTGGATTAATCACCATCATGACATGCATACCTCACTCTACTGACCACAGGAGAAACCTGGAGAGATAATTTAGATTACTTGGCTAACATTTAAATTATAGTTGCACGAAATTAATTCCAACCATAAAGACGAGTGCTGTGGTCTTTCAAGTAGACTTATAGCGCTTCCAGTAATCCACCCTATCCCACCCTTCAAAGTTTTGAGTGGTTACATATCTAACAAGATAATAAGAAGGACAGAATAATGGTATGGTGTTGGTGTAGTAGCACTGGATGAATAAGCAACTTTCATCAGAAAGGTGGTACCTTCGATAGGCACTTTTTATCTCCAAGCAAATATTTTATTTAGTTCTAAAAGTAAATGGAAATACTAAATAACACAAAGAAGAGAAGACTACTAACCCCAGCCAGTAAATATGAACCACCATACATACTGCTTGTCCGAAACAAAGGTCAGCAAAAGCAGTGTTTGCAGGTATATCCCTTCTATAAGAAGCCAGAAGAAATTGGCCAAAATACTGAACTGGAAGAATACCACAACAGCCTTACAAGAAACCTGGAAATACAAAGGAAGGAAAAAAAACAACCCACACATTAGATCTACTCTCCCTTGTGACTGGTTTCTCTTCAATTATAAGCAAAATTATCACACAAGAATGAGGAAATTAACACAAAATTTCACTAGGTTTGGGATTCCATCATTATGGTTGACTTTACTTCTTTTTTTTGAAAAGGAAACATTGGCCCTCTGTTACAGATGAAATTCTTTACCGATAGACCTTGATACAGCTTCATTAGAAATGACAGACCTGTATACACCAAAGCTGAACGTAGCTCATAGCACTTGGTCTTTGGGTTTGTATAATATTGTTTGTCTTAAGATTTCAGTTCTAACAAACTAAAGAGAAATGGGATTAAGAAATATCCATGTACTTTTCAGGTAAAGAATTAAGTGTTAAATCAAGAATAAGAGAGGGGAAGTTTAGTACCGTTGACATTAGGCAGTGGTCCATAGTTTCATCTGCAAACAAAACAGCATCTTTGGTGAAAACAGCAATTGCTCTCAGGATAAAGGAGACAAACAGGTGCATATGGATGTAATTCCGTGTACAGTGGAATTTTCTGACATGGAAAGAGAAAATAAACATTGTTCTTCAAGAGAAATTTCTCATGGTCTCATCAAAACTCAAACAGGAATACAGAGTGACTGCAGACACCTTCCAAAGCAAATAAATGACCTGTCACTATTTGAGAGGTAGCTAGACACAAGGGAGCAGAGCAGTTATTATCTGTTTAACCTAATAAAAGTGTTAGTATAATTGTCCTTGAATTACTACCCATTTAAAGGAGATGCCGGGAGCAGAGAGTAACTCTGGGACTCTTGGGCTGTATTGCAATAACACCTTTTAATTATTCTAAATAGCATTTTTTGTTGAACAAGCTTGCAAATAGGCTTTTCAGCCCCTTTCTGGCCAGAGAAGAACAGAATATTGAGTGGATATCAGTCACATGTGGTGGGATGGCTGCCAGAGAAGTAGCTGCCTTACCTTAGACTGCATTTCCCTAGATGACCTTGAACTGAAGGAATCTCCTTTAAGGTTTGGACATATCAGCCTCTTGGTCCTGGGTCCCTCTCTAAGTCATACGACCTTTGAGACTGCCAATCTGCTCCAGTTTGGAAGCTGCTTCTGCGTTCTGCACTCATATCTGCAGAGTAGCTTAAGGCTTTTGTCCAAGTACATTGGAACTAATCAAAACCAGGATCCATTTCTGAATATTCAACATCATCAAACATGATATTTAAATATCTTTAATTCTCTTTCTATAGCTCCTAATTATGGAAGCAATGGTCTTTCACAACGGGAATGGACAGCTTAGAATGACTACAGGTTCAGGGTATAAAACATTCAGTTTCTGCAGAGCATGTCCTGCTATGCCCTGGAGAAACAGTTATTTTATACTAATAGCAATAACAGGTTGGAGCATTTCCACTGTATGGTAAGATTAAAGAGACTAAGACAAACTGCCCAACCACATGTATTTTTTAACATCTGAAGGGAAATGCCACAACGTGAATAGAGAAGGACCCATTGCCATCGACACTGCAATACCTGAGAAGAGTTTGAAAATAATAATAATAAACCAAACAACAAAAACACAGAGGGTTTGAGAGGAATTAGGATCAGACTACTTTGACACATCCTGAAAAGAGACCAATTTATTTTTTTTTACCTGAAGGCAGCAAAGACAATTAGAGCTGTAATGAGTGAAGTCACTGATGCTGCATAGCCAGCAGTGTAGACACGCCAAAATGCAGAATAATATGATTTCTATGAGAAAAAGAGAACACAGACCAATGCTGGTGGTTATGCAGCATGCATGCTGGTGTCCTTATTTCACCAAGATACATTTGCTCTTACTAGTCAGTCCCATCACCTATATATTGCTTTGCGTGCTTGAGATCTGATTCAGGGTTTTCCCTCCATCGTTAACACACCTTTTTTCTTTTGAATCCTACATAACCTTACACATGAGACAGGTTCTACAACTCACAGTCCCAAATGAAATAGTGACCCCTTTGAGCATGTCCAACAGGAAAATATTACTTTTATTAATTAACTATGTTTTCTCCTATAGGTACGTAAAGACTCTCGGGCACAGTAGTTTGCTGATGGGTGATTTGGGAATACGTCCCTTTAGACCTGGGCCAGATTCTGGTCTGTTTAGCTCAAAGGATGTTTCACCCTGATTTGATAAGTGTTAATTTTCATAAACAGCTATAGTTAAATGAGAAATAAAACTTGCATTTTGTAGGTGAGGAAACTGAAACATCAGGAAAGAGTCACATCACACTGTGAAGGTAGGAAAGTTAAAGCCAAGAAAATAACCTTGCAGTCTTTCATCCTTTGGACAAAGAGTTCATTCACTAGTTGCATACTGTAACACAGTAAATTCTTTATAGTTCATTTGTTTGTTTTGTGTTCAAATATCCTATATCCCAAGAAAAATGAGGCCTAGCTTTAGCTATGCAATTTTTTTCCTGATTCACAACAAGATCACCTAATTACTCAAAATCCCAAGAAACTAAATTCTCTGAATCCAGGCAAATTTCCTCCCTGCAAATGCAATGGACACTTTGTTCTCTAATTGATCCAAACTCTGTTTATCCAAAAGGCAGCAAATCTAGGTTGAGACAACTGATTAGCAATTTTAAGTAGATCCATAAATAAATCATGCAACCCTGACAACCTAGGAATCGTCCTGGTATTTCTGAACACCAGGCCTAATCTTTTATACAGGTGAAAATTAGCAAATAGATTCTTCAACTGAACAATGAAGTATTTCCATGCATTTTATTTGGCAGCTAAATAAACAACACTATATGCAGGAGACATCATAAGTCCTTACTGCAAATACAAAATAAAATCAAGTTGTTCTCTTAGAACATAAGTGGAATTCTTCTTACTTACTTCCCTGTGTTTACAATGCAGTAGAACTTACTGATCTTATCTTCCTTTTACAGACCTTGTGGGTTTTGGAATAACAAATTAAACACAGCTGCAGCACAGACATGAGCTCTACCCTGAAATCTTCCATAATGTTAAAATGTAAATATAGTCCCTTGCTTGCTTCCAGCCTAGGCCAGATACAAACTATGCCTGGCTTAGTACAAGCCAGGGACTGCTTGGAGAAAGCCACCCCCGGAGGGTAAGAAACTTTGGCTCTGGGGGTGAGATCCATACCACGGCAGCCGGCCCCAGGGCTGGAGAACTGTTCTTCAGAATACGTGCCACCTTATGAGTCTTACATCCCTTCTCAACTCTTTGTGTGGTTTCCAGCATCTTTCCTGAAGTTTCTTCAGCATTTATCTTTGTAGCTTCTCCACAGTGTAAAGTACAAATATTCTTATTTCTGCTGGGGAAAGTATATCTATAGTGCATGTTACAGCTGTTCTTGAGTTTCGAAGCTTATGGAACCAAATGGCTGAAGTCAATTGTGTCTACACTTCCTAAAGACTGAGATACTTCTGTGCTTGATCTTGCATGCCTGGAGAACCAAATGGTTTACTCCAGATAACACACAGAGTATTAGCCATGACAACCCTCCTCACCTTTCTGTGTATTGCTATGGCCTGTGAAAAATGTCATTTTTTCCACTCTCAAGTCATGACTGCACACTTACAATGAGCTATATGAGTTAGTCTCTTCTTTCATAGATTGGAGGAAGTCCACTGCTTCTATCAAAGTACGACAACAGGAGGAGGAGGCAGTGATGTACCCCATCTTGCATTTGCGCAAGATCATAGAATTATAAAATCATGGAATCATAGAATCATAGAATTGTCTAGGTTGGAAGACACCCTTGGGATGATCGAGTCCAACCACCTACCCTACTCTACAAAGTTCTCCCCTACACCATATCCCCCAACACCACATCTAAATTGCTCTTAAACACATCCAGGGATGGTGACTCAACCACCTCCCTGGGCAGCCTATTCCAATGCCCGACCACTCTTTCAGTGAAAAAATCTTTCCTAATGTTCAGTCTAAATCTACCCTGTTGGAGCTTGAAGCCATTCCCTCTCGTTCTGTCATTAATTACCTGTGAGAAGAGACCAGCACCAACCTCTCTACAGTGTCCTTTCAAATAGTTGTAGAGAGTGATGAGGTCTCCCCTCAGCCTCCTCCTCCTCAAACTAAACAGTCCCAGCTCCTTCAGCTGTTCTTCATATGATTTGTTTGCTGGGCCGCTCACCAGCTTCTTTGCCTTCCTCTGCACTCGCTCCAGCACCTCAATATCTCTCTTGTATGTAAGATGAATGAGCCTTGTCCAATGTAGGCTGGATATGAAGGGATGGAGACACCCCTATTCTCCCTTGCTGCTAATGTCCCATTTAGCAGTGGTCGGAACTCAAAGGCAGAGGCAGTGAGCATGTCTCTGTTAGTCAACAAGCTTCAGCCACGAGGCACTAACTCTACCAATGCAGTGTGAGGTGATTCTTATCCTGGGGTGTCGTGGTTTGACCTCAGCCAGCAACAAAGGACCGCGCAGCCGCTCACTCCACTCCCACAGCCATGGGAAAAAAATCGACAGGGCAAAACTCATGGGTTAAAATAGTGCAATTTAACAGAACAGCAAAAGGGAAGATGAAAACAAAACAATAACACCGATAAAGGGATATGAAGACGCGATTACAGTACCTCCGCGAAGCGCACCGACCAGACCCACACCGCCTCAGCCCACCCCCAAGTGGCAACTGCTCTCCTCTCCCTGGCTAGCTCTTCTTATAGCCCGGGCATGGGTCACGAGGTATGGAATACCTGCCCCCTGCCGGCTCCTTGGGGAAATTAACCCCATCCCTGCCGGAACCAGGACATGGGGTCAGGTATGACAATGAGGAACATGGAAATGTAAATCATATGAAGATTTAAATGTGGGTGAAAAAGAAATGTTGCTGGAGCCTCAGTGAGCACCTAATGATGCTCTTCAGATAGGAAAAATAGAGGTTAATTTCCTACTCCACTGAACACCTAGGATAAAATGTGAAAATGCTCAATGGCATTCAAAAGTTCTCTCCTAGAGTTGTGCATTCACCACCATGCTACGAAGTAATGGAACCCTTTTCTCTGACTCAAAGAAAATCTGGAAAAACAAGGAACAGGAGGGGTCCAAAGGAATTTTCCCTGAAATATTCCCCACAGAGAGGTTGGTAAGGCTTTGCTGGGAGATGGAAGCATGATGTGGATTCAAATTGCCTGTGTTGGACAACCAAAGTCTTCTTTAGGTAGGACAAATGAACGAATCATGAGTCTACTCGTTAACACCAAGAGTAAACAACTGGATGGAGAGGAAAGTGCTAGCCTTTGCTTTATATTAAACCTAATTTGTTAAACAGGCTCTAAATATACCTAAAAAGTTTGAGCTTAGCACTGAAGACAGGTAATTACTGGGTTCTGACAAGGCTCAGATGTGTGGGAGCATCCAACTACTCAGCACACTCCAAAGAGAGTGCTCTGGAGATGTCCACAAGCAGGAAATAAAAAACTCACCTGATCCTCAGGCCCTTTACTGGAACCTTCATCAAATCCACAGGCAACAGTGTATGGTGGAAATGGTTCTGACCAATATGCCTCCTGTGTACAGTTTCTCTGAAGGAAGCCTTTAATGGTAAAATATATCGGAGAATGCATTAAAATGGGAGAGGGGGATGTGTTCTTTAAGTTTTGACAAGAAAGAAAAAATTTTTATTCCTACTTTGATTCTTAAGTTAGTCACTTACAGGTCTAGTCATGTTCAGCAAGATTAGCTATATAGTTATAATCGTCTATATATCTACCCCTTGAAAAGTTGAGACTTAGAGACCCAGTTCATTTCATGATGCATTGGAAGTTCTGCATTTCATACAGGAAATTCATTCTGCAAATTCAATTTTTACACAGAAGAAATCAAATTATGCAGTCTATCCTGTGTTTACAACATAATCTTTGCTTGTGGACGAAGCCCTGAGCCACTTCATCTAACTTGGAAGTTGGATACAGTTTTTGAACTTGGTCCTGCTCTGACTGGAGGATTGGAATAGATGACCTCAAGAGGTCCTTTCTAACATGAATTATTCTGTCACTGTATATATCAGTGATTCTGTGACATACTTATATTCCTTCATAACATCAGCAACGTAGTGCATAATATTTAGACCACCAAAGAGACAATTCAGAACAGCATAACAGAAAAAAAAAATATTGTCAAATATTGACCATAATCCAAGATGTGTATCATCTGGCTAACTACTGTATGTTGACTGACATAAGATAGCATTGTGAATCAGGAAAATAAGCAAGGTAGTGAACATATACGTATTAGAATTTATTCAAAAATATGTAGGGATAGAAAGAATAGAAAAAAAAAGTCTTGCCATGGATATTGGTGATTTCTTCAAAAAATCTTGGACAAGGAACTTTAACCACTTCCCCAAAAGTGGCTCTGGGCCAGCAGGTTAGACCATCCCAATCTCGGGCACATCCTGAAAAAAAAAAGGGGGGTTTCTAAATAAAGAAACACACAGAGAACATCACACAGCTGGTCTTCCATGATGATACTGTCTGTGGCTTTCTCACTAATTCACGTGCATGAAGAAGAGACACAACAGCACATGCAGCTCTGCAAATGAAGGATTGTATTTTTTTCCTGTTCTCCTTGAATGCACCATCACTCACATACGCACTTGGCATTCCGGCTGGACTTTTCCCCACCTTATCTCATGAGAGAACATACCTGAAATTCAAGCAGACACAATCTGAAAGTCAAATCAACTGGAGCTCTTTCTATTGTCAAAACAAAAGTCACTAAAATAAAAATATTGAATAATTATTAGCACTTGAGATTTCTCATTACTGGTTTCAAAGTCTAACTGAAAAGCATCAGACTTAAAAATTCATCCTTAGTCTCTTGCTTCCATGCTTAAAATCTATCAATTTCATATGACCTAAAGGAAATAATATAAGGGCTGAAGTTCTGGTCATCAGCAATCAATGGGATTTTTACAACAGATTCCAACAGGGATTAGATTCATCCCAAACTAGAAGAACATCTCCCAGCACCATATAAAACAAACATCATCAGGAGTACGTTTGACTGGTTGGCATTCACGAGGTTCCCTAAATCAGAGGTTGCCAGCTGATGATGCAGGGCATGTTACTAGCTATGAGTCCAATAAAAAGGGTTTTCGGAAGTTATAGTTAATCACAGCTTTGTCACAGATGCATCACATTGAAACTCAAGCTGTGGTCACACAGTGTCTGTTGGCAAGTGGGTGTGGGTGTGGGTGCAGCACAGAGAAATTATCGGCATGTAAAGGTGCCTGAACCAATAAAAAAAGTGCCGTGCTGTAACTGAAACTAATCTCTAGATGGTCATAAGGTGGATATAAAGCAGTGCATGACTTTCATTTGGGAGGTGTTATTTTCTTTCACTGATTCTTTTCTGTTTCCTCTGTGACTAATGACAAGGCAAATCTAAAATTGTCAAGAGGTGAAATGTGGAAGCAATATTACGTGGCTGTAGCTGAGCAAAGTTACTCTCTGGCTCCTGAAAAGATAGTCCTGAGAATCTCCCACGGCATTATCCTCACATCACCCTTGGGAGAATGAAATTCCTGGTATCCCCAATTTGCCAGATGGGAAAATAGAAGCCCTGATTCATTATCTCTAATTTTAATCATCTAAAACATATTAGCTAATCTTAGCTATGTTCCTGCTGTAATCGGTAGAAGGAGACAGGGACTTCCAGAGCATGATTCATCCCGTATATTGGAGGCTCCTTTCTGAGGACAGGATGAATCACTCGCTGCAAATACCTAGGTCTCTCTGATGATTATAGCCTAAACTAGGCTGCTAATTTACAAATTAATAAAGTCAGGTAATCTGAGTACCACTTAGAAATGCAGTGGCCCACACACTCAGACGTAGGGACTTAAAGGGTCCCTCTTAGAGGGACTATAGTACCTTTGAGGAGCTCAGTCTAAAAAACTACCGTATTTGGCAATATGGGGTTAAAAACGAGAATCAGGTGACTTATGTAGGAGTGCAACCTGTATGTTTTAAGTCTTGGGTCTGGTTTCATTTTCGGTGACTTCTACAGTTTTATCAAAGAAACAGCTGAGTGCAGAGGCAGAAAGAGCATTTTACGCACTGAGGTTTTCAAGAGCCTTGTGATTGTCCAAGTCACCTGAGACTCCATAAAGAGAACTGCAGTAGGAAATGGATCAAGTAATGTTGACCTCATAGATATTTAAGTCTTCTTCAGTAACCCAAGGCTCTTTTTTTTTTTTTTAGACAATGGAGAAAAATAAGCATTTTTAGAGCTTGATTCAGTTGATCTATTTACACATCTACTTCAAGATGAGAGGAATTATACCCTGGACTCTACTGATGACACTCATAAGACACTGCTCTAAACAACAAGAATAATATGGAACTACTTTAGATTAAACAGTTTGCAACACAGACTAATTCCAGCGTAGACTATCTGTTACTACTGAGAAATAACTCTCTACAAATCGTGATACTTCAGTTTGTCTCGTTCAGTTCCTGAAAACTAAAATGCAAGCTAGGGACTTTTACCAATATTAGTCTAGTTTTAAAACACTCCAGATAAAATATTTAGGATGAATTGTTTTTCTAGATCTAATGTTTCATTTTAAAATATATTGAGAAACGGTGCAAATACCAGAACAGACTTTCATTAAAGTCCTTCCATCTCTAGAGAATAAAAGGTGGAAAGCAGAGCTTTGAGATGATCAGAGTTGACAAGGTTGAAGATTTTTAAATAGTTTAACAGAACTTTGAGGGATTTTCATTTCTTTGAGTAACCTTTGCTACAAAGAGGATTCTGAAATCATGTAATTATTTTTCTGGTAAAGACAAAAAATACTTGGAATGTCATACTGTAGTACATGTAATAAATCATTATCCATAACACCTGATTTTTGCCAAAACATTCTTGGGTGGGTTACTGGATGTTCCAAGCGCAGAATGTGTCCAGGAGGTATTCCAGACTTGATTAAAGAGGGGGAAAATACCACTAAAATAGCGTAGGAAAGTACAAGAAGGATATCAGACATTAGAGTGATTGGAAAGGCTGCAGAAAAATAAAGAAGGAAATATCCTGGGGGTTAGTCTGTAAATTTTGATAGGCTGCTAAAGGCAGATTTCCAGGCAGTTGCAATACTTCTTATCATACTAAGAGCATGAGGCATCTTTGTCTCATAACTCCTTTGTAGAAAATGCACATCTGACAATTCATATAACCAAAAAATCTCACTGAGGTGGATGCATACTTTTCTAAGCAAAGTTGGCCAGAAAAAAATATAACTGAACTTTTGAAAGGGTTTGAACACTTTGAAATTTCACTTTGAATCAATTCAAAATGTGTCTCCATAATGCCAAAATCCCAGCAAAGAGAACCCCCTACACAACATTTTGAAAATACTTTACAGGCTCTCTGAAATGTTCATTTTCATTTTCAAAATTTATATTTGAGGATGTACCAAGTGTCAAAACACCATCAAAACACCACCAGAATAAATCTTTTCAAACAAAAAAGGAAACAAAGAACCTCCAAAAATGTATACGTAGAATATTTTAAAGAAGTCAGTATTATTTCTTTTTTCTTTCATGTCAGCGAAAGTCCCTCTCAGTCTTCACTGAGTTCTCTCAGTCTTCACTGGCAAGGACTGCAGCCACACTGCCCATGACACAGAATGTAAAGGCAAGGATTGGGAAAATGGAGAACCGCCCACTGTAGGTGAAGATCAAGTGCGAGACCGCCTGAGGAACCTGAAGGTGCACAAGTCCATGGGACCTGATGAGATACATCCGTGGGTTCTGAGGGAACTGGCAGTTGAAGTCGCTAAGCCACTAGCCATCATATTTGAGAAGTCGTGGTGGTCTGGCGAGGCTCCTGCCAACTGGAAAAGGGGAAACATAACCCCTATTTTCAAAAAGGGAAAGAAGGAAGACCCGGGGAACTACAGGCCAGTCAGTCTCACCTCTGTGCTTGGCAAGGTCATGGAGCAGATCCTCCTGGAAACTCTGCTGAGGCACATAGGAAACAAGGAGGTGATTGGCGACAGCCAGAATGGCTTCACCAAGGGCAAGTCATGCCTGGCAAATTTGGTGGCCTTCTATGAAGGGGTTACAGCGGCAGTAGACAAGGGAAGATCAACAGATGTCATCTACCCGGACTTCTGCAAAGCGTTTGACACCGTCCCACATGATATCCTGGTCTCTAAATTGAAGAGACATGGATTCGACAAATGACCACTTGGTGGATAAAGAACTGTCTGGATGATCGCACTCAAAGAGTTGCAATCAACGGCTCAATGTCCATTTAGAGAGCAGTGATGAGTGGCGTTTCTCAGGGATCAGTACTGGGACCTGTACTATTCAACATCTTTGTCGCAGACATGGACAGTGGGGTCAAGTGCACCCTCAGCAAGTTTGCCGATGATACCAAGCTGTTTGGTGAGGTAGACATGCTGGAGGGGAGGTATGCCATCCAGAGGGACCTGGACAGGCTGGAGAGGAGGGCCCAAGCCAACCTCATGCAGTTCAACAAGGCCAAGTGCAAAGTCCTACATCTGGGTCGGGGCAATCCCAAGCATAAA